GAAATACCTTAATTGATCATATATGAGATAATTATGGAGCTAATTATAATAAATAATTATGTATTTGTTTTAAATTTAATGATTTATTTTGTATGTTTTTATTTATATGCAAGGTTTTACTATAATATAATATTTTATTTATTCATTTTATTTTATAATAATTTTGTTGGATATTTTATAGTTATTATAAAAGATTTATGCTATTGGTTAAGTTTTTTTAAAATATAAGTTATATAAAAACTGTTATGTAAAATATAAAATTTTAAGTTTATTATAAAGTTTTGTTTTTGGAGAGAAACACCTTTAAAACTTTATTTTATGGTTTTGCTCAAACTTTAAAATAAGTTCGAGATGTTCTAACTCAAAATTAGTACGTTATATTTCTATCTAAAATGTCTGCCACCTAAAATAAAATTCTCATTTAAAAATGCTGGGGATATAACTCTCTTCTTTGACATCTATCACCAAAAGTACAGTATGCGCTCCGTTGACACAACCGAGTACCTGTCAGCTGGAGCTTCCAAGTTGATGCATTGATTCTTGTTATTTCCAATGGAAACTTTGTTTTGTGCAACAACAATGGAACTTTTCTAATATCGAAATCAGGTTAACATAAGTTATTGAATGATGAGAAACACTAGCTAATGAATGAATCAATATTGATATGCTAGTTACGTACTTCTTGTTTAATCACTTATTGTCTTTGTCCTGAGGAAATTGATATTTTTTTCATATATATATATATATATATATTGATTACACATGGTATATTAAAAGATTTTAGTGATCTACTACGAGACGTGTAAGTATATAAGTATGTCTATATTAAGTATTAACAACCATACGTGAACAAGTGACCCTAATCTTTTTAGCTTTTAATTTCACCTATTACGCTTTCTAAGCCTATTCATAAACATGTAAACATATATAGCTGCAGCAGAAGGAAAGATATATAAACATATCGAACATGTATGCCAGTCCAACATTTTCAACTTTTTTTCTTGATGTCCTAAGTTCATTTAAAAATTTATGCCCTTATTAATCATGTAAATTTTTTATAGTGTCTTATTTGTAATTAAAAAATCATTTAAAAATTATGATGTCCTAAACGTCGCTCATCTCGCTTAAGTCATCAACTCGTAGGATTTCATTGACATTATTATATCGTATGCTGAAGAGATCGATGAATGTGAGGAAGAGAAGAACGTAACGTGTAGAAATAGCAATGAAGAGGTTGATGAAGCTACAAAGAGATACTTGGAAAGTTTTGCAACCACCATTGAAGACACTCTAACCAGAGGATCGATTACATGTTTGAGTCTTCTATTAAATGCGTAAAGGAGGATAAAGGACACACTACTCGTGCGAAAAAGGAGGTTCCGCACGTGATAGATGGTTGTCTATACGTGTGAGTAGAGGATGGGATTCACGTGAGAGATTCACCCGACCAAAAACTATACATATATTTTTTTGATAAAGGGCTTACCAAAAAGAAAACTATTTTTAAATTTTTTATATTTCTCTGTAAATTCGAAAAGAGAAAGATACTGGTAGGAGTGAAGAAGGTTGGGCTGTCAACTGTCAATCCCGTTTGCAGTTGCAACAAAATATAAAGATTAAAATTGAATTCATAAATTATATTTGGAGAATTTTAATATAACTTCTTTCTTCTTTTTCTGTTTTAATCTGCCATTTTAAGGACATGAGCACTGAATATGAAATTTTAGGTGTATGGAGAAATATTTGTGATTCTGATTTTGATTTTATACAAGCTAAAAAAAATTATTTTAATGCAACTAGGTGTTTTGCCCGCATATACGTACATAATATTCTTATGAAAACTTATTATTTTCTGTTTTATAATTCAAAAATTAGCATAATAAATTATTATTTATGTTTTCGAAAAGTTTAAATTAAACATCAAATAATTGATATACGACAACGTTTTTCATCAATATATATATATATATATATATATACTTATTGTGTTAGAATTTTAAAAGCATTCGCACATAAGAAATATTTTTATAAAAATGTTTTTGTTTGATTAATATTTAATTATAAATTTTATTATATCTTAATTTAAAAAAATTATAATAGAAAATACTATTTCCATATAACCACGCGCAATATATATAAAAATTATCTTTTTAATATCTTTTTTATCAATTATCTAATATAACAGATAAATTCAATATATTTAATATAAATTTGTTTTATTTATCTAATAAATTGTTTATAAAAGTTCATTAAGTGTATTCTTGACTTTAACCAGTCACACTTTTAACGTGAGAACTCGGGTGCAAAAAAATCACTTCACAAGTAATAGTATACAATATAGAGTTTAGCAATTTTCTTGGTGCCTTCGAATCACAATAAAATATATCAGCAAATATTTTTTTATTAATTTCTACGAAATATATAACATGATTGGGTCACTTAAATATTTTACAGATATTATTAAGGGCACAAAAGATATCTTATAAAATTCCAGATACTCCAAGTTTTTGTAAAAAAAAAATATAGATCATAATTTACTAAATTATCCTTAGCAAAGTTGATATTGTTGAGGAATTACTTGACCTGTTGAGTTAATTTATATTTGAGTGAGAAGTTTAAACCAAACTATATGTGCTACAAAAACTATTGATTTGGTATCTGATTCTAACATGATAGATGCCAACTTAAGTCTCCATAGAAATATATATAAGTGGGGTTTACACCTTTTGCTTTCAAGCCTTCCATTAATTATATATCCCATTGTGGCTTAATAACCTACACTGCAATATATCCAAGATGCCTCTAACCGTTTGTAGGATGGATACGCACGCCAACTCGATTTCGGAAACATAAATATTTTAATTTATGATATATGTCGGGTGGATGATTAATCTTAAGTTATTTTAAAAGAAATAACTTTGTTTAATTTTTATCTGTGTTATTATAATTTATTTAGTATGGAGTTTGCCAATTTCAGCTCAAAAAATATCTGGCTCGATCAAACGAGATTGGCCCAGCTTCCGTCGTCGTGACCATTAATCCAAGATTTCAATAGTTTTGGACATGATCAAACTCAGTTGAAACCTAATATCTAAACTAATTTATCTTAGGACTGGTACCGCCTTTAGTTTTCCAGTATAGTTGGTCCAAAATTTATAATAAACAAAGCACTATGAATAATTCCATTTAGTTCGGTCTGAATTGTTGTATATTTAACTGGATGCAAGAAATTGTATATACGGATAATATCATACTTGATAACTTAGGTTCAGTGTCGTTTAGGCTAACAACAAATAAATATCATTATTGGCATACATTGAAGAAGATGATAATCTTACCATCATTTTAGATACCCACTTCACTCTTTCTACATTCATGTGATCTATTGTGTTTTTTTTTTTTTTTGTTTAGTGATCTCTTACGATGTAGAAGATCATAGTATATTTTAAAGTAGTGGTTAATTACTGAGACTATTATGTATTTATGTTTAGATGTTTTACCGCTTATATGTTTAACCACTTCTCTGATTGCTCGATATTGTTAACTTTTTGATTTTTTTTTTGTGCTCCTACGAGCTAAAATCCAAGGTAGGTTTTGCCTCCCAACCAGGGGGACTTGGGTTGAGAAGTGTTAGTTGGTAATTTGAACTTGTTCTTATTGCTAGTTATTAGACCATCAGTGAAAATTTTAGTGAATCTAATGTATCGAAAGCATAGAACAACTGATTTCAGTTAATGTTTGGTTTCTATGTACATTTGAATATAACACAGTTTGTTTGTTTTTGTTCTCACTTGGTTTAAGTTTTCCTTGTTCTAATATGTATAAACAAAAGGCTTCATCTTTGTAGTAAGGACAAAATCTCACAGTGGAAGTTAAACTTTTTTAATACTTATATATATATAATAGATCAATTTATCACAATTTAGTTTTAGATTACTAATTAGGTTTTAATTATAACTAACTTAGTATAGTTTTAGAATTTCATCCATTCATTTAATCTAATTCATAATCAGTCCATCAATTTCACCTGAATATTCTGAAATTAATGGTAAAAAAAAGTATCAGAGACAAAGTTCTACATTCAGAATCGATTAGAATATACTTTAAATAATATATAAAAAATCACCAATCAAACTATTACCAATTAATTTTAGATTAAAATTTCAAACAAAAAATTAACACTTTCATCTCTATAAAGTTTATTTTATTAGGGTGTTGATTTTTGTCTGTGAATTTTACTGAATTTCTTCTTTTAGTGATATCATCAGGATATACGTTTTGTATTAGAAAATAAATTGAGCTATTAAGAAAAAGAGTTTGACTACTCACTCGTTCAAAAAGGTTTCACTTAAAAATAATTTATAATAACATAGTAGATTACTATTTTTAAAAATAATTATTGCAGCATTCACTTACTTACCCTGTTAGTTATTCTTCTCATTTGTTGTTAGAGTAGGAGTAGGACTACTATTTTTCTCAAATGAACATATTATTTAGGCTTAAGAAAGAAAGAAAAAAGTATACAGTTTTATTTAGCACAAAATAATATTTGTAAGTTTTTATGGTGGTGTTTTGGGCATCTAGATATGACTGTGGACTCACCTTACCTTGTATTCTTTTTTATTCTTTTTAATAATATTTTTTCCAAATTAACTCCTTTAAAATGTTGATCTCAGCCGACATTTCCGTGATAAAAAAAATACTTTTTGAATTTATAAATAAATATAGTTGACAAAAGAAACAAGAAAAAAATTGACAGGGACAGTCTCGTAATTTCGTATGCATATAAGTTTTGTCTTTTTTTTTTAAAGTTTTGTCCTTTTTTCTCATCGTTATTAAGATGGAAAAACTTATTCGGATTTATATATATAATAAGAAAAAGAGTTATAAGACCACTTGATTTTAAAAATAAATATGAAAACGATAATCAAGAATAGTTTAGCTTTTTATTTAAAAAGATGGCATAAGAATAGTTTAGCTTACAAAAAAAAAAGATTGGTGGGTTATAAAGGGAGGCGACGAAGAAAGAACAGCGACCTCTTCTTCTCTCTTCCTTTCTCTTTGGGAAGAGATTATTATAAGCTTTCTTTAATCTGTGAAATGGTTTCCAGAATTTTTCTGAATAAACTCTCACTACCATAGAAAAAAAAAAGAGCTCAAGAAAAAGAAAGCTGTGGAAAGAGAGAGAAGATAGAAAACGATAGCTAAAGCTCTCAATCTTCTCTTTCTTTAGTTCTCTGCAACCTCAAGGTACTCTTATCTCTCTCTCTCTCTCTTCCATTTATATATATGTAGATGATGACCGAAGCTGAAAGTGAGAATCTTAAAAGAGTTACAAGAAAGAGATGTACAAGAATTTTTTTTGTATAATACCTAGTTGACTCCTCTCTCTCTTTCTCTTTCTAGTTGATTCTATATGTGTTATGTGTCTGAATCCTTACAGGTAACAAGAGCTTTGGAGAGATATATAGTTATGAATAACAAGAATCAAGAATTGGCATGGGTCTAGCTACTACAACTCTTCCTCATCATCATCATCATCATCATCACAAGTCTTTTGACAACAGTTCAGATTCTATGTCCCAAGATTATCATCATCACCAAGGAATCTTTTCCTTCTCCAATGAATTCCACCGACCACCATCTTCCCATCAGGAGGAAGTTGAGGAATCTGCTGTCTCCGGAGCTCCGGTTTACGAAACCGCCGGAATGTTATCAGAAATGTTTAGCTACCCCGGAGGTGGTAACGGTGGCTCCGGTGAGATTCTTGATCACTCTACTAAACAACTGCTAGAGCAACAAAACCATCACAACAACAACTCAACTCTTCATATGTTACTACCAAACCATCATCATCATCAAGGTTATGGTTTCACCAACCAGCAACAACAACATCACTTCGCATGGCCATCTTCCTCCGATCATCAGAGTCAAGGAGATATGATCGGGACCGTACACGTGGAAGGTGGAAAAGGTTTATCTCTATCTCTCTCATCGTCATTAGAAGCAGCAGCAGCAGCTAAAGCAGAAGAGTACAGAAACATTTATTGTGCAGCCATTGATGGAACTCCTTCTTCTTCTAACCAGTTAAATCAATTCAAGACTCTTCTTATTGATAACGCTTCTTCTTCTCATCAACATCAAGTTATGGGACATTTTGGGTCATCATCATCTACTCCCATCGCTGCTTCTTCCTCCATTGGAGGGATCTATACGTTGAGGAGTTCTAAGTACACGAAACCAGCACAAGAGTTGTTGGAAGAGTTTTGTAGTGTTGGAAGAGGACATTTCAAGAAGAACAAACTTACTAGGAACAACTCAAACCCTAATACTAGCGGTGGAGGTGGTGGCGGAGGCGGTGGTGGAGGGTCGTCTTCGTCCGCGGGAGCAGCCAATGATAATCCTCCTTTGTCTCCGGCTGATCGGATTGAACATCAAAGAAGAAAAGTCAAGTTACTATCTATGCTTGAAGAGGTAACGTTTTCACACTATATTATTCTCTAACCAATGAACTAATTTTCCATTAAAGATTTCATTAAATAATATGACTGAATAGATCAATCAACTAATTTCATATCAGAAATTTGATTTTTCTTCGTGGTTTTACTCTTCTCGTAATATCATTTTAGACCAACCAATATTTCATAAAATTTAGATATGTATTCAAAAAAATGCATATAGAGAAAGACCGAACGGTACAAGAACATGACACATGATCTAGTTGCTGGTAGAGCTTGATTACACAATCCTACCATCACTTATATAATTTTTCTAACTAATATCATTATACTCGTGTTATAGTCTAATGTGACATATATTAATGCATATCTTGTGCTACGCGTTTGGTGGCATCGCTTAATCAAATTAACATAAGAAATTTAAGTTTGATTAATTAAGTGGTTTAGTCTTCAACCAGATCATTTAAATTAGAGCTTCCTTCTTCGTATAAGCCACCTTCAGTACGTAACCAAAACTAGTCCTTGAAGTTACTTCGTTATTTGTTTATTTTTTGTTATAGTTGACACTTTCAAGATTTTATATTCCAAATTTCCTATATTACGAAAACGGACACATTGGAATATATTCCGTATTACTTGATTTCTCTACGTTTGAAAAAAAATGCTCGAGCATATAACCTAGTAATTACAAAATAATCAATTTATATTTAATTTTAATTGAATTGAATTTTTAGGTAGACCGACGGTACAACCACTACTGCGAACAAATGCAAATGGTAGTGAACTCATTCGACCAAGTAATGGGTTACGGTGCAGCGGTCCCATACACGACATTGGCCCAAAAGGCAATGTCTCGACATTTCAGGTGTTTGAAAGATGCGGTAGCGGTCCAGCTAAAACGCAGCTGTGAGCTTCTAGGTGACAAAGAGTCAGCGGGGGCTGCGTCTTCAGGGTTAACCAAAGGCGAAACGCCACGGTTGCGTTTGCTAGAGCAGAGTCTGCGTCAGCAACGAGCGTTTCACCACATGGGCATGATGGAGCAAGAGGCATGGAGACCGCAACGTGGTTTGCCTGAACGCTCTGTTAATATCCTTAGAGCTTGGCTTTTCGAGCATTTTCTTAATCCGTAAGTTCATTTTCTCATCCCTTATTCAAATATTACATATCTTCTTTTACAATAAAAATATTATTAGTCTTCTTGCATTGTTGACCATACATTATAAAAATAGACTACCACTATGCATTGATATTAAAAAAAAAAAAACTAAGTGCCTTGAGGTTAGTTATAACCTTTAAAATTGTACTAGTTACACCAACTAAATTCAAATACTAGATTTTATATTATTTATTTATTCTTTGATTCCACCAACAAAAACAAAAGTTCAAATTAACAAGGGTAACAATGCATTTACCTTGAGAAATTCAAGAAATTGGGTGTGTTTGTGCATAGTGTGTAACTGTGTATGCTTATATATATATATACATATAATATATAAGCTGTTTTGCATGGCAAAGGAATTATATAATGAATAATATAATAAAAGAAGTTTGCAGAGTGAGATCACAAACTTTTATGCTTTGGGATCATAATAGCATCCTAAGGGTTTATATGTCTCTGCCTAACCCTTTCTTTATAGTTTCCTCTATAACTGGCTATAGATTTCTTCCTCTATAGTATATTAAAAGAAGTAACAATGCTATTAGCATAACTACAAAAATAGGTCTCAGATTTGTCAGTGGTGCAGTGTCATTGGTATATTGTCTTAAGAAAGACAGAAATTAAAAGGGAGAAAGAAAACAACTAAAAGCTGATAAAAGCAATTTCCTTTCTTATTATTCATCAGAACTTTCTTTATTTAATGTCTGCCATATTTTACTATTTTGTTGTTAGTGAAGTAAAGAAGAGAAGAGTTGTACAGTTTTAACTTGTACCTCTCTGTGAAAATGTTTGCTTTATCGTGAAAATAAATAAGTGAAGAAACAAAAATAAAATCAATTGCTTCTTCTATTCTTCAATCAGCTTTTTCTTTTGTCTCTTAGATTCTCACGCCCTTGTAAGAAGAAAGTTTGCACCTTTTATTGCATCTACTTGATTGTGTTTTTCCTCTATTCTCTCTCTACAGATATACAAATTTTATTCAAAACAATAATAGTTATTGGGTTTAGGGTTCTAAAGATTGTGAAGTCATTTTCTGGTCTCTTTCTCAGGTACCCAAGCGATGCTGATAAGCACCTCTTAGCTCGGCAGACTGGTTTATCCAGAAATCAGGTCAGCCCTTATAATAGTAAAATATTCTCTATTACTGGTCATACAAGAACCCTTTTAATCACTCAGTGTTTACATATACGTACTTAATTTACAGATTTACTATATATATCAATCATCTCATCATGCAAAACCTGACATGATTGGTATCATGTCTATTCTCTTGCCTGGATTTCTGAATATGAAAATCATTTTCTTGGGGATCGTTTCTTCATTAAATACATTATAAATACATGCAAGATATAGGACAGAGAGGTGGGGGAGTGAGAATGAGAGAGAGGGAGACATTAATACTCAAAACTAGGACCATATTTCTCATGTGCATGGAAGTTTGAAGCTTTAATTTCATAACGACCAGACCTCAAATTCTTGTATACGTACGTTCTTAATAAACTTAGACTAGCTAGACTTAGCAATACATATCCTTAATTAATACCCTCTTCATTTCACAAAAACATACTTATGTTTATAAAAATCTTCCAAATGAAAGAATATATCAAATGTATGCATATGCTTATAGTTAGTATATATCACTAATTAATAGTTATAATTAATAAACTCATTGTCAGAAATCATATTAAAAATGTGAAATATATATATATATATATATATATATATATATTTACTGAATGATTTATATAGACTACGAAATGTTCACATAACCATAATTATTTGGACAACCTTATTAATTCATAATATTTATTATAGACTTGGTTGAAAGTAACAAATATCATTAAAAGAAAATGTTTTCTTTAATTGGTTTTACAGGTGTCCAACTGGTTTATAAATGCTAGGGTTCGTCTATGGAAACCAATGGTTGAAGAAATGTATCAACAAGAAGCAAAAGAAAGAGAAGAAGAAGAAGAAAATAAAAAAGAAGACAATCAACAACAAAGAAGACATCAACAAACAAACAACAACGACACAAAACCCAATGAAAGCAACTTCACTCTCGTTCAGACAATAACCGCACAAACTCCAACAACGACGATGATGACGTCGACACCACATGAAAACGACTCTACATTCCTCCCTCCCTCTACCACCGCCGCCCCTCTCGGCGTTTCAGGCGCTTTCACCGTCGCCACGTGTCAGAAAGATGTCAGTGACTTCCACGTCGAGGATGGTGTCATAAGATTCGGGACCAAACAGCCTGGCGACGTGTCACTTACGCTTGGTCTACGCCACACTGGCAATATGCCTGATAATAAGAACTCTTCTTTCTCCGTTAGAGACTTTGGAGATTTTTAGTTTGCATTCGTCGTTTCTCCATTTATCAATCAAATATATTATAGTGATGGATTTTTGTTTTGGTTTTTGGGAATATGTTTTTAGTCTCTTTTGTCAAAAAAAAAAAATGTTTTTAGTCTCTTCGCATACTTTTAAGTTTCTATTTTCTGTTTTTGTTCTCGTAAGAATAAGAGAAATACACGTATAAATGGATATATATATATATCTCTAGATACAAGAGTTCTATTCTATTTTAGATTGAAATATGCAATGTTTGGTTTCTTTTTTCAAATTGCTGTCCTTCCTGATCTCTATGACTCTTCTGCAGATTAGAACTTTTTACATATTTTTGAATTTTTTTTTTTTGTTAATATTGATATTTCTTGCGAACTTCTGTATTTTTACTGTGAATCTCTATAATATTATTTGAGAAACTTTCTTAGGCGTCGCGCTCACGTTAACTCTAACGCTGGTTGATTACTATGATACCCCTAATGAATTAAAAATATATTTAAATATTATTATTTCCTTTTTAAAATCTTCCAAATAACAATATAAAATTAAAAGAAAATATTTATAAAATTTACAAAACTATCTAACGACGAAAAAATAAGTATATATATAATATGGTTTCATAAAAAAGGAAAGTTTACAAAATAGTAATATTTAACTTAAATATATTTTTAAAGAACATAAATTACACTTTTTAAGTAATAAAATACTTTATATCTATATCTTCTTAGATGAAAAAATATTTGTATATAATGTGTTTTCATAAAAAAAGTTCATACAAATAATCTTGATATTAGAAAAAAGAAATATTTTTTCTTTAAGAAAAAAATTTATACAATAAAATATATATTTTCAAAGTATTATTTTTTGTATATATCTATCTATTTTATTAGATGATTACATAAAATAATTAAGTAACATAAAAATAATATATGTTTAATTGACAAAAAAATTATAATTAGTATTATTGAAATATGTTTTTTAGTATATTTATTTGATTATAATATCTACAATTACAGCAAAAATATAAATTATATTTTACTTATATAATATAATTTCTCAAAAACAATCACATTTTTACTGCTTATTTTAAGAGATATTAAAAGAAATACTAAAAATAAATTTAATAATAAACATGTTTTGATCAAATAGATATATTTTATTTTAATAGTTAAAATTATCTGCTTTCTTAATAACTCTCTTGATGTTTAATTTTCTATTTTTATGTTCGTGGAATTTAATATAACCATAATCAAAATACTTAGCAAATCAGAATTCCTTATTTTAAAAATTATTTAAAATAAATTTGAGTTTCCAATCAATCTAAAACATAATTTACTTAGAATTTATAAAATATTTTAATTATTATAAATATTGATATGTGTTCATAAGCTTCCAAAATTTATTATTACTTATGTATGTAATATAGAATCAGACACTTTATTTTTTTTATTTTTTTTTACGTTCTTAGCACAAAAAATCTTAAAATACATAATCTTACTAAGATATAGTTATATTTCTATGATAACAATCAATATAAATGTAAATAAAACAATTAATCAAAAATTTAAGATATTTAGAATAAAAAAGATTATAGTTGAATTCAAAGAAAAAGATAGAATCCAATATATATATATATATATATATATATATATATATATATATATATCCAAATGATAAAACTGACTAAATATAATATATCTAAAATTATATATAACTAAATAATATAATATTATTAATATAAATTATACATACAAACTATAAATTAATATAAAATTTAAAGTAAATATCAACTAACTATTATAATATATATATTTTATAAATATTTGTGCCCGTGCTCATGCACGGGAAAATCATATATTTTATAAATATTTGTGCCTGTGCATGAGCACAGGAAAATCACCTAGTATCTACATATTTTAGATACCTTTTTGTCCATATTGAGATATTAGAAGATTTCTATAATTTTGTTTTAGTTGACGAACTTTTCAATTTTTGATCTGAGAATTTTTTTTTTCTTTTTAATAATAATCATGTACATATTTGTAGAGTAATATTCTGCTCATTGCCTCATATTTGATACTCCTGCCAATTTATATATATACTAGGATAAGACACGCGCCTTGCGCGGAATGAAGCTATTATTTTTATTATGTTTTTAAAAATGAAACAATAGTTCGGTTTCATTCGGATTAGAGGTGTTCAATCCGGATATCGGGTTTCGGTTCGGCTCGATTTTTTGGTATTTCGATCATTAAAATATAACTACTATTCTAAATCTATATGTACTTCAGTTTGATTTGGTTTATATACCATCGGTTTTCAGTTTAT